GACGTCGGATGTCTGCGCGGGGGGCGGCGGCACCACCAGAGGGGGCAACCCGCTCCTGCTGGCATGTCGAGGGTCGAGGCGGAGGGGGGATCTCGAGGATCGAGCGGGCTTCGGGTGCTGTTGGTCGATCTCGGGAGTGCCGTGGGGGCCCCCTGGGGTGTCCAAGAGTGCCCGCTCCCTGGACTCCAGAGCCAGGGAGGAGGAGGAGGAGAAGGGGGAGGAGGAGGAGAAGGGGGAGGAGGAGGAGGAGGAGGAGGAGGGAGGAGGAGGAGAGGAGGAGGAGGAGAGGAGGAGGAGGAGGAGGAGGAGGAGGAGGAGGAGGAGGAGGAGGAGGAGGAGGAGGAGGAGGAGGAGGAGGAGGAGGAGGAGGAGGAGGAGGAGGAGGGGGAGGAGGAGGAGGAGGAGGAGGAGGAGGGGGAGGAGGAGGAGGGGTGCCCCGCTTGGCACTGCCTGGGCAGAGAGGGCCTCGCTCGTGCTGGCGCAGGCGGTCGGGGCCCCCACGCCGGCGGCCGAGGAGGGCGCCTGCCAGCGCGGCGCGGGCGGTGCCCTCCCGGAGCCGCGGGAGGTGGGCCGCGCTGTCGCTCTCGTGCAGGAGGCCGACGCCGCGTCGAAGGCGTCCAAGGCCGAGGGCGCTCACGGTGCGGTCGGTTCGGTTGCGTCGCGGTCGGCCGTGTTCGGTGGGCTCGGTTCCGTCGGCGGCCGCGTCGTGGCCGCGCCGCTGCGCCCTGCTGGGCTGCCTTTCGTCCCGTCGGCCTCGGTCGGTTTCGGCTTCGTGGTCGGTTCGGTCGGTTCTCGGTCTTGCTGTCGCCGTGCACGGCCTTGAAGGCGGCGGCTGGGCGCTGGCAGGTGCAGGCCAGCGGTGGCGCTGGTGGTCCCCTTCCAGCGCCGCGGGCAGTGGGCTACGCCGTCGTGCGCGAGGCCGGGGCCACGCCAGAGGCCTCCAAGGCGGCGGCTGTGCGCCGGCAGGGGGTGTGCATGCAGGCCCGAGCCGCTGTGACAAAGAGCCTCCCCTCCGAGCCCTGACACCCTGGCGCTCTGCAGGGACAGATGGCGACGGAAGGGCTCCTTGCACACTTCGGGCCCCAGGGGCCCTCACAGGCTCCCCGGGGAGCGTCAGGAAAGCGACTCAGGGTGAGAAGATGGTCCCCTCGATGGGATCCGGACCAGACCTCGGGGGAGCCGCATTGAAACAAAAAAATCGCGTCGTCCAAAATGTCCGAGAGGGGGCGAAGGGTCGGCCTCGCACCAAGGGCGGAGGCCGGTGGAAGGTGGGAGCGAGCGGGCCAGCCGAGGCAAGACAGTCGTCGCCGGTTCCTCTTCCGTGAGCTTGCGATGCGCGTGGGCAGCGGCGTGGCGGCGGGCATTGGCCACGGAGTGTTTGAGGAAGTCATGGGTATCTTAGACGCTTCGCGTAGCCCCACCAGCCCATCCAGCACCGATGCCCAGGCGAGCTGCCCTGGTCAGGGATTTGGGGGAGCATGCAGTGGAATCAGGGGCTGGGGAAGCCGTGCCATACCCCAAGGGGGGTAGGATGACGAAGGAATCGGAGGACTAGAAGGAGTAGAAGGAGGAGGAGGCGGAGGATTGGGAGGGAGGAGGCGGCGGGGAGGAGATCGGAGGGCAGATGAGGAATAGGCGGATCATGATGATGATGATGATGATGATGATGATGATGATGATGATGATGCTAATGCTGATGCTGATGCTGATGCTGATGCTGATGCTGATGCTGATGCTGATGCTGATGCTGATGCTGATGCTGATGCTGATGATGCTGATGATGCTGATGATGCTGATGATTATGTTGATAATGGTAAGGATGGCGATGATAATGATGGTTACGGTGATGCTGATGGTAAGAGTGATGATGATGGTAATGGTGATGGTGATGAGGAAAGTTTCGATCATGCTGATGATGATGCTGATGATGATGATGCGGATGATGGTGATGGTGATGCTGATGCTGATGCTGCTGATGATGCTGACTATGCTGATGCTGTTGTTGATGATGATGCTGATACTACTGATGATGATGGTGGGGACCATGATCATGCTTCTGAGGATTATGCTGATGATGGCGTTGATGAGGATGATGGCGATGACGATGACGATCCTGCTGCTGATTATGCTGATGCTGAGTATGCTGCTGCTGATGATGGTGATGCTGATGCTGCTGATGATGATGGTGATGATGCTGCTGATGATGATGCTGTTGATGATATTGTTGATGGTTGTGATGACGATGCTGCCGATAATGGTTCTGGTGATGCTGATGCTGATGCTGCTGCTGATGATACTGATGATGATGATGATGATGTTGATGGCGATGATGATGATGACTATGTTGATGAGGCTGACGATGATGATGATGATGCTGATGGTAATGATGATGATGATGATGATGATGATGATGATGATGATGATGATGGTATTAATGATGATGGTGCTGATGATGATGATGATGGTGCTGATGATGATGGCGATGATGATGCTGACTATGTTGTTGATGCTACTGGTGATGCTGATGATGATGCTGATGATGAAATGATGATGATGATGATGATGATGATGATGATGATGATGATGATGATGATGATGATGATGATGATGATGATGATGATGATGATGATGATGCTGCTGATGATGATGATTATGATTATGATGATGATGCTGCTGATGATGATGATGATGATGATGATGATGATACTGATGTTGATGATGATGCTGATGCTGATGTGCTGATGATGATGGCGATTCTGATTATTATTACTATTATTATGCTGGCGATGCTGGTGATGGTGATAGTGGTGGTGATGGTGATGGTGATGGTGATAGTGATGGTGATGGTGATGATGATGATGCTGATGATGATGATGATGATGATGATGATGATGATGATGATGATGATGATGATGATGATGGTGATGATGGTGGTGATGATGATGATGATTAGATGATGATGATGATGATGATGATGATGATGATGATGATGATGATGATGAGGAGGAGGAGGAGGGTTAGGAGGAGGAGGAGGAGGAGGAGGATCAGGATGAGGATGAGGATGAGGATGAGGAGGATGAGGATGAGGAGACGGAACTCGAGCAGAAAGGCCAGTGGCCTTTGGATGCCTCTCGGGGCCTCTTTCGGATTTCCCTTGAGAGCTTCTTGCAGTCCGTGGGCCTCTGAGAACATCTTGGGTTTCTCGGGGGAGCCTCTTTGGGCCTCTTGGGGGTCTTTGGGGAGCCTTCTGGGAACCTCTTCGGGGCCTCTTGGGGCCTCCTAGGCGCCTCTTGGAGCCCTCCTGGGGCTTTCTTGGGAGTCTTGAGGGCTATCTGTGGGCCATCTTGGAGGAGTGCGATTGCAGAAGGGGGGTCCTTAATTAGCCCCCCCCAGGAGGCCACAGTAGGCCCAAAACCACAGGAAAAGCAATATTTGTTTTACCTTCTCGCCTAGGCCTTCTTCGATGCTCTAGCGACCCACGACCTCGTCGTCCAGGCCCAGGAGAGGGGGTAGGGACAGGTGTAAACTCCTCCACTAAGGGGAAGAAGGGGGATTGGAAGAGGAAAGGCTCTAAACCACGCGCGCCCGAAAGGGCTAATGGGATTAGTTGCAGGTGGAGTGCTTTTTGTGGTGGAAAAAACAAGGTTGGTTTCGCCGGCGGAAGGAGGTGGAAACTTGCTGGAAGCTGGCGGGTGCGACAGCAGAGCCCCAGAGAGGTCCAGGCCAGTGTCCCTAGCATTCCTGGAGTCCGTCGGGTGAGCTCGGTGGAGGCCGGCAGAAGCGGAAGTAGACTCCCAGGAGAAGCCGAGCCAGACCCCCGACGTCATGAGTTTTTCATGACGTCGACCCCCAGAAGTCTCGACCCGTTCCCTGGGACCGGTCTCTTATCCTGAGTCGTCTTTGGACGATCCCGAGGCCCAGTAAGGGCTCCCAGACTCCGAAAATAGTGAGAAACCTCCCGTCGTGACTTTTTCCTGACCCGAGGGGGTCTGGGGAGCCTGGTGTCCTCAGCATGTCCGGGGGTCCACCAGGTGCTCGCCAGCATCTTTCTCGCGACGATGGTGAGCCTTGCAAAGCACCTTGAGGGCGGGACTGGCGTGCACGAGGATGCCCTGCCGACTGGCGGGGGTGCAGCTGCAGTGGCGCTGCCGGTGATGGAGGTCGTCCTTCGGTTGCAAGTCATGGGAGCCTCGTATACATCAGTCGGGCATGTCCTTCTACAGGAGGAATATTCAAAAACAGTCAAACAGTCTGAGGACGATTTTTTGATGATGTTGTGCCTATGTTTGAGCATCTGTCAAGTTTTCTTTTCGCCCACAATCCGCCTGTAGAAGGACATGCCCGAGTGCACCAGCGTCGACCAGCGTCTGGTAGCCGATGAGACAGCGCCGATTTAGACTCGGTCATCGTTGATGCGCGTTGATGCGCAAGGGCCAACAAGATCGTATGGGAGGCTCCTATGAGTTGCCACCGAATCGTCCTGGTGCGCAGCCTCCTCGTCTCCGCGACCAGCCTGGCCGTCCTGGCCGCCGAGCGCACGAGCCCTCTGGGCCGGCCCCCGTGCCAGCCGCTGCTGTGGCTCCGAGGCGCCCTGGGGGCCGGGGCTGTGATCACCATGTCGAAGGAGAATCAACGACATCATCAGGGGCAGCGAGCGATGGGGGGGGGGGGGGGGACAGGCATAGAGGGGGGGGTGCATCGGCCCCGGGTCGTCCACTCCTCGCCGACAGGGGCCCGGATGGCCCCACCCCTCCCGGGAGCACGCGGACTCGCTGACTCGGGGGCCGATCTCGCCGAGCTATCGGCGACGTACGTCGCCGATTCCGGGCCGACGCTCCCGCCCCTCTGCCAGCCCCTCCCCGTCGTCGCCCCCCACACGAACATGCACTTCGGATGCCCCGCGCGGATTGCTCGGAGCGGAGCTGGGCCCTCGTGGCGGCGCGTCGGGTGCCGCCCCTCTGGCGCGCTCTCTGCGCGCCAGGGAGGGGGAGGGGGGGGGTCCAGCGCCGATCCACGAGTGCCGCGCGGAGCTCGGGAAGTCTGTGCGCATGCCGTTGCCTCGTCTTCGGGCCATGTTCTTCGCGGTGACGCTCCTGCCGCTGGTGGAGGTGCTCGGTGGCAAATCATGGGATCTTGGTGTATATGTCCTTGGACTTGATTCTTTCGCGTCGATAACGTCTGGGAGTCGACGGGGCAGCGCCGATTCCGCGTCGGCTCGCGCTGCTTCGCGTTTGTTTCGCGCCGATGCAGCGTCGACGAGCGTCGATTCGCAAGAGTCGGCAAGATGGTCTGGGAGGCTCCCATGCGTTTCGAATAAGAAAAACCACATAAGCAGAATCTTTTGTGGCGCTCCGCGCAGATCTCTTGGAAGAAGAAGAAGAATAATAATAAGAAGAAGAAAAAGAAAAAGAAGAAAGCACGGCATAAACGTAAAAGAATGTGGCGCTCCGCGCGGATCTCTTGGATCCATTTCTGGGCCCCCCGGCGGCGCCTCCAGTGCGCCCCTGGCGCGCGGAGCGCGCCAGGCAGGCGCTGGAGGCGCAGATCCAAGAGATCCGCGCGGAGCGCCAAAAGTTTATGTTTATTGCGTTTTTCCTTCTTCTAGAGTTGCCACCGAAGAGGTGATCGCGCTCACGTTCACGATGCCACTCTGGGGCGCACTCTTCGGCAGGCTCTTCCTGGGCGAGCCTCTGCCGAGGGTGCTGGCGGTCGCCCTGCCCGCCTGCGCGGCCGGGGTGGTGCTCATCACCGAGCCCTGGGCGCCTCACAGCTCGGCGACCGCAAAGGGCGTGGTTACGCGGGGGTGTGGCTTGCGATCCGCGTCGTGGGTCGAAGAAGAAAGCACGGCATAAACATAAGAATTTTGGCGCTCCGCGCGGATCTCTTGGATCCGCGCTGGCCCCCCCCCTGGCGGCGCCTCCAGCGCCGCCCCTGGCGCGCTCCGCGCGCCAGGGAGGGGGGTCCAGCGCAGATCCAAGAAATCCGCGCGGAGCACCAAAACTTTCTGTTTACTACGCCGTTGTGTTCTGCTTCTATTTGGGGCGTGGGGGCACTGCGTTGCCCTCGTTGTGCCTTCTCGGGGTGCGGCGGAGAACTCTGTCGAGGTCCCCGCCCGGCCCCAGGGTGCGCGTTGCAGACCACGCCCACTTTTGCAAACCGCACCCTTCGGAGTCGCCGAACGGCGCGGACGCGTTCCCGAGGCGAGGCCTGGGCGCGGCCGTGGCCCTCTGCCATGCCGCCCTGTCGGCGGCCGCGAAGACGTGCGTGAGGGCGCTGGGCAAGGGCGGCCACCACCCCCAGGTAAGCGTCGGAACAATAACGGGCTCAACTGCGCCGACACTCGCGCGTAGGCTGCCCGCGTAAGGTCGCGCGTGAGCGCCCCCGTCTCAGATGCAGCACGCCGCGTTGGCGGCCCGCGTAAGCCACCGCGCAAGATCGCTCTGTTGTCTCGCGTAGCACGCCCAGAGCCCTGGACCCATCTCTCTGCGTCATTCTTCGAGCAAGATGGATCTGTGAGGGTCGCGTGGCCCGTCAACGAGCGAAAACGCCCGGTGTGAACAAAAGCTGCAACGCCAGGATCTCAGGGTAATACCCGTTTCTCAGGCTTCATTTCGATTCCTCCGAGTCGATTCGATTCGATTCGATTTCGATGGCTTCCGATTCCGGTTCGATTCGATTTCGGATTGGGCTCCGATCTCCGATTCTTCATTGGAGGCGTACTAGCCTGCCGATTTCCGCCGATTCGGTTCCTCCCGACTTTGCTGCCGATGTCCGCCGAGCCGATTCATGCCGATCGCTGATCCGACCTGTCGATTCGATTCTGGGCTCTCCTGTTTTTTTCACGCCCAGGTTGATGGCATGTTTTCCACCACCACCAGAAGCTGGAGGGGGGAAGGAGGTGGAGAACGAGTAGGAGGAGAACGAGGAGAGTGAGGAGGAGGAGGAGGAGGAGGAGGAGGAGGTGGAGGTGGAGGAGGAGGAGGAGGTGGAGGAGGAGGAGGGGGGGGGAGGAGGAGGACCCCCTCCCCCTGTAAATTATGGTGGTGGTGGTGGTGGTGGTGGTGGTGGTGGTGGTGGTGGTGGTGGTGGTGGTGGTGGCGGAAAACAAGCCCAGCACAGGTGATCGTGCTCTACCTCACCCTCTGCGGGAGCGCGATCTCGGCCAGCGTGCTGTTCGGCCTGCAGGGCGGGCCGGTGGCCCCCTTGCCCCGGCAGTGGGCGCTCCTGTGCGCCACGGGCGCGTGCGCCTTCGGGTCGCTTTTGAGCAGCCAGCATCCGGGCCTCCTCCCCTCCCCCTGCTCCCCAAACCTCCTCCCTCTCCTCCTCCTCCTCCTCCTCCTTCCTCCTTCCTCCTCTCCTCCTCCTTCTCCTTCTCCTCCCCCCCCCCCCCCCCCTCTCCTCCTCCTTCTCCTCCTCTCCTCCTCCTTCCTTCTCTCCTCCTCCTCCTCCTCCTCCTCCTCCTCCTCCTCCTCCTCCCACTTCCCCCTTCTTTGCCCCCCCCACACAGCAGAATCCGAAGGCCTCCATTTGCCCTCCATCTCCAGTGTGTGTGGGGGGGTTCGGGGGACATGGACGAAAACACAGATGGAACCCGCACCACCCCCAGCCCAAGATTCGAGTCTTCGGGTCGGGTTTGTCAGGTCTCAGACGTTCTCCACGCTGGCGCTGCGCGACATCTCCGTCGGGGAGGCCGCCGTAGTGAACTACCTTTCGCTGGTGTGGAGCTCAGGGGGGAAAAAGGTACCCACATTCTTGATGTGTCTCCTCCTCCTCCTCCTCCTCCTCCTCCTCCTCCTCCTCCCTCCTCCTCCTCTTCCTCCTCCTCCTCTTCCTCCTCCTCCTCCCCCCTCTCATCTTCAAGAGGACGCTGCCCCCACTCTTCTCTCCTCCTCCTCCTCCTCCTCCTCCTCCTCCTCCTCCTCCTCCTCTTCCTCCTCCTCCTCCTCTTCTCTTTCCCCCCATCTTGCTCCCCTCTCCGTCCGTGCCGTCTCGTCAATCGCTTTCCCTATCGAGGGTGCCTGGCCGAGTAGTGTGTGGCGGCCCAGGCAGCCCAGCGCGAAGCGCGCGCTTCGCGCGCGCGGGTGGCCCGCGGCCTGGTCTCTCACCGACGTGCAAGCGCCCAGGCGCGGATGGCGGCTGTGACCGAGGCAGCCGCGGCGGTCGCGAAGTCCGCTGGCCCCGCCGCCCGCGTTGGGAGGCGTTGCCGGGCTGCCGGCTGGCGCCGCGGGCGTGTGGCCGCCCCCGCCGCCGAGGGCCAGAGGCGGCCGCGGCGCGTGGCCCCTGGGCTGAAGAGCTGGCGGGCGCGGAGGCCGCGGTGGTGCTGGCGGCGGCCGCGGCCGCGGCCGCAGACGGGCGAAGGCTAAGGGGAAGGCGGCCCCGCCCGAGGGCCCGCCCCCTGGGGGGGCCCGCGCGGGGCGCTGTGGCGGTGCCAGGGCGCCTGGAGGAGCGCCGCCCCCCGCGCTCGGAGGCACCCACCACCATAGCATTCAAGCAGCAGTCTCGCAGCCTTGCGCGAGTCGCGCGGAGCCTTCCCTCTGCATCCGCTTGCGTTTGGGAGCGGCCACCGTGTTTGTACAGCACACGTTCGGCGCCGCCCCTGCAGCTGCAGCGCTGGCGGGGCCGCCCGCGCCACCCGGGCCTGCGGCCCCGGCGCCGCCGCCCGCGGCGGCTGGCGCGCCGCCTCCCTTTGTGCGGGGCGGCGGCGGCGGCGGGCTCGGCGGCAGATCCCGCCCCCCTTTGGTGGCGGCTTCGGCGGAGCTGGAGCAGGCGCTGTCGCGATGGGGGGGGACCTGCGGCGGTCGCGGGCGCAGCTGGACCGGGTGTCGGAGGCCTCCTCGGCGGCTTCGCAGGCTGGCCCGCCGCCGTGCCTGGCGCGCCCGCGGGGGGCGCCCCCGCTGGCGGCCTGGGAGGCTTGGTGCCTGGAGGCGGCGTCGCAGCCTGGCCTCTTGTCGCGCCTGGGTTCGACCTCGCCGCCCCGCCTGGCGCCGGGCCCTCGATTCCCGCCGCCCTCCAGCGCATGGGGCTGACGCCTGGCTCGCCGGTGGAGGGCGTGCTCCTGGGCGGAAGCGGCTCGGCCACGGGCGCTGCGGTCCTCCAGGTGCAGAGCGGCGGGGTGCTTCTTGGATTCTTGGAGGTGCAATTCGTAGGGGCGAGCGCGCCGCAGTATTCTCCCATGCTGATGGGCAGTTTCGGCGCAGCCGGTGGCGCGGCGCTCCGCCCTTGCGCGCAGCAGCCCTCGCAGTGCGCACGTGCGAACCCGTGGATGCAGATGTCCGTTTTCCACATCGAAGCCCGGCGCATGCGTGATGCGCGAGGGCTCGTGGAGCCTTGGCTGCAGGCCGCTGGCCCTGGTGGAGCGGCGCCCGCGGCGCCCGCCCTCCTCGGCGTCGGCGACGGCGGAGCCGCAGTGGGTGCAGGACCTGTCCCAGGGCGCGGCGCCGACGGAGGCGGAGACGCTCGAGATGCCGACGGTGGAGCCGACGGCGATCACGTCTCAGTAGCCGACTTGCGCAAGAAGGTGCAGGAGCTCGAGGCTCGCCTGGCCCGCAAGCGCTCTGCGGGAGAGACGCTCGCAGCTCGGGCCGACGGCGTGCTCTCTGGCTCGAGGCGCCGCCATCGTAAGAACAAGCCGCGCGACCAGGACGACGGCGAGGGCGACGAGTCAAGTTTTGACGATGCCTTACAGCCGGACCGAGGTATAAGATCGAGGTCGGTTCGGGGAGGGTGCCCTGGTGTTCTTCGTGTTTGTTGGACGTTCTTTTGCATCCTGGGGAGGGGGCCCTTGGGTGTCATGTTTAGTTTGGCCAGCGGGGGCTCTCATGTTCTTGAAGGAGGGTCTTCTGGCCTAGTTTCGACTGTACACGTCGGTTCAGGCCGTCGGATGGCCGCTTTATCCCGCGAGGCGTCGGGCGCCCTCGTGGCCAGCGGGATCGAGCAGATCAGACGCTGCCCGGCGCGACGTGGAGGGGCGGCCCCGGACGGCAGCGTGGACGAGATGAGTGCGCAGGTGGTGCAGTACATCATGAGCGTCTGGCGCGGTCACCACCCCCAGGGCGGCGAGATGGGGGTCAGTGCGTGCGGGAGCTGAGGACTGTGTGTGTGTATGTGTGGGTGGGTGGGTGGGGGGGGGGGGCTGGGCGCGCTCCTCGGCGGCGAGCTGGACCACCTTGGCGCCCTCCTGATGCAGCGGGCGAAGGCCATGGAGCAGGCGACCAAGGACGCGCACTGGCAGGTGGCCCAGCTCTTGGATCTCTGCGACGACCTGGTGCGACGACATATGGGTTGGCCTCACTCAGCCCGCGGAGCCGGAGGACGCGAACTCCGGGGCCTGCAGGAGAGCGTTGCCAAGGCTCGCAAGGGCGGCGACGCGGTCTATGTGGACTCGGCCGAGGTGGGGGCGGGCAGCCAGCGCCCCCCTCTTCGACGGCCAGGTCCGACTGGCGTTTCCCATGAGAAGCCCAACGCCTTGAAGGAGCCGTTCCCGACGAAGGGCCCGGAAGAGGTGGCGCGGGCCGCGCGGCAAGAAGCGGGCGCGGGCCAAGGCAGCCCCAGCCGCTCCGCTGCCGGGCAGCCTCGTCCGCTCGGGCCCAAGCTGCGGCGCCTCCCCAGCCTGCGCCGCTTCGCAGGCCTCGAGGTTGACACCAACACCAGTGTCAGCGGTGTGCCTTCACCGAGGGAAGAAGATCCCGATCTCGGTGATGGTGGCAACATTATGGCGTCCAAGGTGACCGACATATTACCACCAACACCGAAATCTAGGATCACCTTCCCCCTGTGGAGGCACCCCCTTGTCTTGGTGTTGGTGCCCATTTTCCAGGCCTCCAGCCGCTGGCGAAGGCGACGGCGCGTGCGGCGGCGCGGTCGCCCTCTCCCCGCGCGGCCCTTCCCCCCAGCCGCGCGGGGGCGCCGCCGCCCTCGGCGGCCGCCGGCGCTGCCCCGCCGCCCCCGCGGGAGGCGTCGGGCCCAGGCCCCGCTCGGCGCCGGATCCTCCGCCGGCCAGGAGGAGGGCGCCGCTGCCGAGAGGTCGCCGCAGCGGAGGGTGACCTTCTGCGAGAGGCAGCCCCGCCCGCCGCTCGGGCAGCCCGGAGAGGCGCGCGAAGGTCGGGGGCGGAAAAGAGGGGGGTGATGACTAGGGGGGGGTGGATATCATGGCGGGTGCCATGATATTTCCCCAGATTTCATGGCGCCTCTTCTCATTTCATTACGTCCCTGGCCCCCCCGCTGGGCCGCGCACATGCCGCCGGTCATGATTTGCACCCCCCCCCCTTTTGGACGCCCCCCTCTTGGCCGCTCCCGAGAAGGGCGGCGAGCAGAAGCAGAACAATGACGGGAAGGGCACATCGCGCACCCGTGCCAAGGGCGACAAGGCGAAGGGGGAGGGCAGCCCGCCGCCAGCCCTTCGGCCCACAGTGCCTGACGACGGCGCTGGTCGAGGAGCTTCTGTGGCTGGAGCGCGTTCCGACCGTCGAAACACGGGGCCTGGCCCACAATGGAACCGCGTTGCGCCTTCGACCATTTTGTGGCTGACCCCGCGTTTGTGGGCCCGCGTGGCATCTCCTGCTCCAGCGAGCCAATGATGCATTGCGCCAGTGCTGGCGCGGGGCGCGATGCGGCGCCTGACGCTTCGAACTTGGCGTCGGTGTCTATGAAGGTGCCCGAGAGCCTCGGCGGGCACCTGCTTCGCCGTCTTCGACTTCGGCATTTTGCTCGTCGCGTGGCCATGCCCCTGCAGATGCTGCCGCGGGCCTCTTCGAGGGCGCGCCGTGCACGCCGGCGGGCGGCCGGGGTCGACGGGGCGATCTTCTGCCGCTGCCGACTGCGCGCTGCTCGGCTGCCCCTGTCCTGGGCCGCGGAGGGCGCCCAGGGGCAGAGGGCGAGTTGCAGCCTGCCAGCAGCGAGACGCTCGACTGGCTCAACATGACGATCGAGAGTCTCAACTACCACTGCGCCCTGCTCGGGGGGCGGACGCCTGCTGCGCGCCCGTCGGCCGCCCAGCCGCCCAGCGCCTCGCGCTCAGCAACCTGCTCGACGAGGCGTGCGCCTTCCGCAAACAACGCGAGGGCGCGATCCCCGAGATTGACTGGGGCGAGAAGCTCACCGGCGCCGCCGCCGCCTACGACGGCGAGAAGATCTACCCCGCCGAGCCCCTCGACTTCGCGCGCCTCGAGTCCTCTCCGCCGCCGATCGAGGCGCGCGCCTCCGTGCGATCCTCCGAGGCCGCGGAGGGTTGGCTGCGCGAGGTGCCCCACAACCCATGGCTGGCACTTCAGACGTCTGACGAGCTGGCGGGGCTTCCGCTCGCCCCGAAAGGCCTGGTCCTCGGACGATGAGTGGGGGCGAATCGCGGGTGAGTTCCTTCGGCGAGGCATCCTGGGGCCCGTCGAGTACGTCGGCGTCGCCGAGGTGGGCGGCCTCGAGATCTTGGAGGGCATGTTCGGGGCGCGCAGGGGCGGCCGCGGGAAGGGCGAGGGGCCTCGGCGCCCGGCGATGAACGTCGCCCCCTCCAACAGCATCTATGGGCGATCGAAGGCGACGCGCCGCTCCTGCCGCGCAGCGGCAAGTGGAAGACCATCCTCCTGCGGTCCGGGGAGGTCTTGCCGCGGAGCTCCGAGGACCTCGAGTGCCATTTCTACGTCTACGCCCTCGACGACGCCCGGCTGCCCGACGCGGCGATTTCCGAGCCCGCGGGCCGCGACGCGTCGGGCCAGTCTGGGCCTGGGCTGGCGTGCGCTGCAGCGACGTTGATGCCGATGGGCCGGGTCGGCGCGACGGGCGTGCTCCAGCGCATCCATCGTCGACTCTTTCGAGTCTGGCGCCCTCGACTTCGGCAGCTGGCCGCCCGCGAGGAGGGCGCGCCCGCCCCGAACGTCAGGCCGCCGCGCGGGGCGAGGGCAGGAGGTGAGCGCGTCGGAGGCCACGTCGACGGCGCCCGCGACGACGGTCTGCCGGCCGTCGACGTCGGGCGAAGCTGCGCCCGCCGAGGCCTTCCCCCTTCGAAGTGGGGAGGGGGGCCCTTCCGCGTCGGCGGAACATCTGCGGTCGGGGGGGGGGGCCGTCGGGGGCCTCGTGGAGGCTCGGGGGGGCTCAGGGTGGCCCCGCTGTGCCAGCGCCGAAGGGTTGGATGAGGCGCCAAGGCGGGGTGAGTAGCAGTTGGTGCTATACCCTTCAGACCACCCTCTGGTGGGACGGCGACAACCAGAGCTGATGGGTAGGAGGAGGAGGGGGAGGAGCAGGAGGAGGAGGAGGAGGAGGAGGAGGAGGAGGAGGCCGCTACCCTTCGCCCTCTTTCCCCTGTTCATGCCTCCTGGGCGGCCTTTGGCGCCACCGCTGGATTCGCCTCGAAATCCTGGTCAGAACGCGTTCCGGGAGAGGCTCGGGGAGTAGCGATATCGGTACCTTTGGTTTCCCCAGGAGCGAGTTGTACGGCTTCTTGGCGTTCCAGGAGGCGCCCAGCCTCAACGGAACAGTTGGTGGTTTGATCGTGGTCGGCTGCACGCTGGGCATGCTGCTGATGAAGCGGTGAGCGGTCCGCTGCTCCACCCCGCGAACCTCCCACATCCGAGAGGGCGACCTGGCCAGGTATCCTCCAGCGCTCCCGCGTCCACCCACCTCCCCTGCATCCTTGTGCATCCAGGCAGTCTCACGCCCTCTGCCATGACTGGCCATGGTCGCTCTTCAGAGGTGCAAGAGGTCATGATGATGATGATGATGCCTTCCAGGATTTTCCGGATGTCTGGGATCCCCCAAAGCTCCACAAGGGCTGCAGAAACGAGGGCCGCCTGGCACTCTGAAAATCCTGGAACGCATCCAGAGCCCATCTCACCATGACATCATTTCCGTCCCAGCTCTGTCTTCCTTGTCGAAACTTCTCGCAGGTGTGCTGGTCATCGAGTTCGCCCCCCCCCCCCCCCCACCCCCCTGGCCGCTCTCGGCTTCCCAAGACGCCGAGGTCCGCCCCAACTCCTTCGAGACCCGGCTCCCGCTGCTCCGCCCTGGTCGCAGGGTGCCTCGCAGCGCAGGGCGGAAAGGTTGAGCTTCCCGTGGGCTCCCGGGGTCTCACGTGTTCAGCTTCACTGGGCCCTGACCTCTGACGCTGGGCCAGGGCCATGATGCCGTTGGTCAGGCGTTCTCGTCCCCGTCCTCGCACCCTGCTGTGTCGTGATGTCGGAGGTCGATGCCAGATCTCGACTCGAATCAGCCCGCAGGTCCCCTTTGGACAGCGTCCTGAGAATTTTTCCGGGCCGAGACTAACCGCGGCGACGTCTCCCCCCTAGGAGACCAGGACAGAATGAGCCCAGAGCTCCAGTCTTCGTAGATTTCTCAGAGACGCCGGCGATGCATCATATGCTGATTCCTGGAAGCGTCGCGCCCAGAAGCGGGAAGCAGCGATACAATGGGGGGGGAGGAAGGGATGAAGAGGAAGGAGAGAGAGGAGCAGGAGCGGGAGGAAGGGGGAGGAGCAGGACGAGGCGGAGGTGGAAGGAGGAGACGGAGGGTCTCCAAAGTTTGCGGATTCCATCTCGCCCTCATCGACCGATCGACCGATCGAGGAGGAGGGGGAGGAGGAGGAGAGACGACTCGCCCGTCGGCCATGCACCCGAAGCGCAGCGCGGTCGCGCGGGCGAGCGTGGGCGCGCGCAGGCCTCGCCCGAGGACCCGAACCAGCAGAAGGGCGAGCAGGCGCCGGGACAAGGGGGCAAAGGAAGAGGGGGGTGGGCCAAGGAGAAGGAGGGAGGACGGGTAGGTGGGTGGAGGAGGAGGAGGAGGAGGAGGAGGAGGAGGAGGAGGAGGATGGAGAGGATGGAGGATTAGAGAAAGAGGAGGAGGAGGAGGAGGAGGAGGAGGAGGAGGAGGATGAGGAGGAGGAGGATGAGGAGGAGGAGGAGGAGGAAGAAAAGGAGCTTTACGCCGAACCGATGTTTATGCTGTCGGACGCCGATCTGCGGCGCCCGCCAGGTTTTTATGCTGAACAGCTTCGCCAAGTCGGACATACATGCATTAGTCCCGAGCCACATTCCAGAACGCGACGTGCCTCGTGTTTCTCAACGCAAGAAAGGAGGAGGATGAGGAGGATGAGGAGGAGGAGGAGGAGGAGGAGGAGGAGGAGGAGGAGGAGGAGGAGGAGGAAGAGGAGCAGAGTGAGCCCAAGACGCAGCAGCGAGGCTGCACTACGCCCAAACTGTGCCAAGAGCCCGCCCCTGTTCTTCATGCTTCGAAGTGCCCCCTTGAAAGACGAGCGCTCCCGGGTCCTGTAGGTCAGGCGACGAGCCCCGCCTCGAAGCCCTGCGACGAGGTCTTGCGGGACCAGGAAGCGCAGTGAAGTGCCCAGCGATGGCCCCGTTTTTTTTTTTTTGAAGAGACGCCCTCAATACGTGTATCTCTGCGTTCTGGTTCCAGACGCATGGCCTGGCCCGCGGCTTGAAAAAAGGAGTCGCCCTCCATCCGCGAAGTTGCTGCATTGCGTTGAGTGCCTGATCAGGGCCAGATCCATGACACATGTTGTGTTAAGTCCTTCTCTAAGCCCTGCAACGACCTCAGGCTTCGAAGCGGCATCTCCAACTGTTCGTGTTATCGTAGTGATGCACTTAGACTCGAAGTTTCGGCTCTCCTGGCTTTGGAGATGGACCAATTCAAGCCTCCATGCTTTGGAGAGGGGCCGCGCTCCATCCGTGTCATAGCCAGAAGCTTTCACGTGGGACGGGTGTACAGGGCGATACGGCGAGCACTGCATTTTGAGAATCAGCCCCCCTGCATTCGTGAAGCCGCTGCGAACTGCCGGAGTGAATGCGCGCGGCGCCGACGCGAGACCCACCGTGACCCTCGCCCCCGCTCGTCGTGTGCTCCTCTTGAAGTGTGCAGGACCACTGCGCGCGGCGCCGAGGCCAGAGCCACACGTTGACAACGATTCCCTCCTTTCGTGTGACCGGGCTTGACCTAATCGCCGTTTTGCTTGACTTCGGCTGTGCTTCGTTTTTCGTTTTGGGGGGAGGTGCCAGAAAACAGGTAGAGCAAAACGAACACAACACGAAAACCAACGTTTAGGTCCAGCCCTGCCGTGTAAAAACTAGAAGTTGTTACAGCGAGCGTGCAAGAGGAGGAGAGGAGGAGGAGGAGGAGGAGGAGGAGGAGGAGGAGGAGGAGGAGGAGGAGGAGGAGGAGGAGGAGGAGCAGAAAGGGAGGAGGAGGAGGAGGAGGAGGAGAGAGGAGGAGGAAAGCATCATGATAAAAAAAGAGAGGAGAGGAGAGAAGGAGGAGGAGGCGGAGGAGGAAGAATAAGAGGAGGAGAGGAGGAGGAGGAGGAGGAGGAGGAGGAGGAGGATGAGGGGGAGAAAGAGGAGTGAGTGAGTGAGAACAGTCGCGACGCGAAGATTCGACTGCACGCCCCCTTCTGAGCTTGTCGAAGCAGGCGACGAACAGGAAGGAGACGCACTTCAACTCGTACACGGCCGGCTGAAAGAGAAGCCCGTGGAACACCGAGATGATACCACGGATGTGTCCCTCCAAACAGTGACGACGCCCACGGTGTAGAGGGTCATGAGGCATGGCATAAGTTAAGTTGAGATGAATTCGGTTCGATACGGCCCACTACAGGGTCAGGACACCACTGGTCATCGGGCAACCCAGACGGATCGCCTCCTCCACAGACAGCCTCACCAACAGCCAAAACAAAACGACCATAACACAGCAAGCGAACGACTGTGTGTTCAGTCCTTCAATACAACCAAGCTGCTACAGGGGAAGTTGAAATAGTGAATTGAATAGCTCCCAGAACCACGCTCCAGCGAAAAAGCCGCCGCCCGAGTCGGTCTTAGATGGGCTCGAAGCCCCCGTGCCCCCCGGTTGCGGACGGGATGCCGATGAAGAGGTCCAAGGAGAGCACCACGACGAACACAGCCGCGCTCCGCCGCCCGAGTGGGACTTAGATGGGCTCGAGGCCCCCGTGCCCTTCGGTGCGGACGGGATGCCGAGGAAGATGTTCGGGAAAGTGCGAACATTGAAATACAATACTGCGAACATTTGAATTTCGCCCATTTTTTGTCATCCCACACCGAGAACAACTGTCTTAAGAACGGTTCTGTGGTGGGAGCCCCCCAAGCGCCACGAGAAGGCAATGGGCTGGGCGTTCCATGGCTAGCTCGAATCCAAATGGGTACGATGCCTTGGGCCACCCGTGCTGGAGGGAGGAGGAGGAGGAAGAGGAGGAGGAGGAGGAGGAGGAGGAGGAGGAGGAGGAGGAGGAGGAGGAGGAGGGGGAGGGGGAGGGGGAGGAGGAGGAGGGGGAGGAGGAGGAGGGAGGAGGAGAGGAGAGGAGGAGGAGGAGATGAGGAGGAGGAGGAGGAGGAGGAAGGGGGAGGCGAGGATGAAGGAAGGGGGGGAGGAGGAGGACAAGAGGAAAGGGAGGGGACCGGGGGAGAGGAAAAAAGGGAGGGGGGCGGGAGGAGGGCTCCAGATGGGGAGAAGGAGGCGGAGGAGGAGGAGGGAGGAGGAGGGAGGAGGAGGAGGAGAGGAGGAGGAGGAGGAGGGGAGGGGGAGGAGGAGGGGGAGGGGAGGAGAGGAGGAGGAGCAGGAGGAGGAGGAGGAGTAGGAGGAGGAGGAGGAGGAGGAGGAGGCGGAGAGGAGGAGGAGGAGGAGGAGGAGGAGGAGGAGGAGGAGGAGAGGAGGAGGAGGGGGAGGGGGAGGGGGAGGAGGGGGGGAGGGGAGGAGGAGGAGGGAGAGGAGGAGGGAGGAGGAGGAGAGGAGGAGGAGGAGAGCGACGAGGAGGAGGAGGAGGAGGAGGAGGAGGCGGCGGGGAAAGAGCCAGCAGAGTGGCGAACAGGCGCCTGCGGAGCAGGACATGGACTGGAAGGCGCGGCCCCCGTCGCCCCCACCGCCTCGCCTCTCTCCCTGTGCCCCCCCGAATGCCGGGCCTCGGCAATTCAGTTGCTGCATGCATCGCAGATCACGCTCAGCATCGCAAATTCCTGCTGCCGCTGCCGCCGCGGAACATCGAGGATTCGGGCGGCCACGCTTTCGATGCAGGGTCGGTTGGCCTGTACCTTAGCCGTCCCCCTTGGGCAGTAGGCTCCCTCCGCCCCCCCCCCCACGGGCCACGGTCCAGCGAGGTGCTCCCCATGCAGTCGCAGGACCCGGACCTCTAACCTCCCCTGAGATCCTGGCGTCTCCATTTGTTCGAGCTTGGCGTTTTCGCATCTTTTCAGGCCGCGGGACCCTCGCAAATCGATCCGGCTCGAAAAATGACGCAGAAAGGTTTGGTCTAGGGCTCTGGGCATGATGTTCTACGATGTTGTATTTGTTTCGTTGCGTCGGATCTCAAGGTCTCGAGCAACTCAAGGCACAGTTTTTTATTGGTTTTCGGCCTCAGGGGGCCCTCGCGGGGCCCTGGGACCGTCAAAGAGCCACTCAGGGCGGAGAGCCGGTCCTGGGGATAAGGTCCAGACCTCGTTGGAGCCCCGGACTGTGAATTTTCCAGGCCTCGGATGTCTGTCCATCAGTCTGGCACCTCCCCGCGCCCACCCCTCTTCCGCCCCGCATCCCGCGCCCCGCCCCCTACGCCCTGACTTCCGCGGCCTCGCGCGCGCGCCCTGCGTGGCCCCGCAGCCAGC